TGGGAGACAATTCATGGGTTTCCTGTGTGTCTGGAGTCTTCTGAGAAACAGGCACTGACAGCTTTGTTTTGCCTTTTCAAAGCGTTTATATAGGAAAGTTTTAGAAGACAGATATGTTATCCTCCCCTACCCCCAGGGCAGAGGACGGATTTGTACCCTAACCAAGATAACAGATGTCTTGCTCTGGCAAAGGCCAGGCTGGCTTGTCCAGCAGCTCTCAGACTGGGGCTTCCTAAGCTCAAATTTCAAGTAGAAGAGCCATGGCAGGCACTGCAGTGAAGCCATCTAATGCAGCTCTGCACTCCCCTTCCTCATGGCGTTTCACCTACATATGGATTAAACAAGCTCTCAGGGGTTCTCCAAGGCCTTTATTTTGGGGAGGAAAATGCTTTTATACAGCAGTGGGAAGGGGGAGACACAAGAACCCAAATGGCTGTGCAACATTTCTGCCCTCCTCACCAGATGTGGCACCTTTCTATGCCACGTTGTTGCTAAGGTAGGCAGGGGCTATCCTAAACACTGCATCGCGTAGCACTTACCACGCTGGCTGCAACAGCCTGTTTTCACATGTTCACTGTTGTGAGAGTCAGGATGTGGCAAATCTGACAATCTGACAATGGTCCTTTACTGAGACAGTTCTCAGTGTATGTTAGACCGGATCCACCAGCAGGTTACCCAAATATTTTGCACCAGAGGCTACATACCCAGTAGGAATGCAATGTTTCGGAATTGCCTGTTCTATGTTCCATTTCCTGGATGCTTAAATGTAAATGCCTTAGAGTACAGCGAATAAAGGGGAAAATTAATAAAAACATAGCACAGGAAACAAGGCGAACCACTTTTCAGTTTGCTTCTGTCCATTCTTCTCAGCCCCATTTCTGAGAAACACTTTTCAAACTTCCCTGGTTCTGAGACATCATGACCTGCTGGGGCACTGAAGCTCCTAAGAGATCAACCAATAGATGAAGCAACATAGCTATACATCTGTGGGTCTGAGGGTAGTCACTGACGATCTCCCCTTGGGGGCTCAGCACTTATTCATTTCCCCTGCTCTGGTTGTTTCTCTCCTCAGGCTCTGTGAGCCCCTGGCCAAGGGGAAACCCTTCCCATACAGTGAATCCAGCTGCTGGGGGGCATGGGGCACATGACATGTAATAGTCTCCTCGCTATAATGCACACTCCAGGAGGCCAGGGAGTTTCACTATTTTGTGCCAGAGTAGGTACTTGATAAACATTTTTTAAATGGACAGAAGCTCAGGATATGTAGTTAATTTGTAAGGTTTGATGAAAGCATCTTTCCAGCAAATTCAGGGAGGATGCCACACTGATGTCCTATTATTTTCATAAGCTAATTTGTATTTAATAATTTTTTAACATCTTTCAGGTGTTTGCATGTGGGTGTAGTCAAGGTGTGCACTTTTTTTAAAAAAAGGTTTTTATTTATTTATTTTTTAGAGAGGAAGGGAGAGGGATAGAGATAGAAACATCGACGAGAGAGGAACATCATCGATTGGCTGCCACCTGCACGGCCTTTACTGGGGATTGAGCCTGCAACCAAGGTATATGCCCTTGACCAGAATCGAACCTGGGACCTTTCAGTCCGCAGGCTGATGCTCTATCCATTGAGCCAAACCGGCTAGGGCGAAGGTGTGCACTTGTGATTCACCATCATCCAATCTAGGCTAGAACTTGTGTTCCAGACAAGATTGGTTTTGTAAGCTCCCAATCCCTATGTTCATCTGCCCTAAATGTGAATTTAAACTAAAATTAAAAATTTGACCTTCTGTAATGGTACCAAACATAGGGTACTGCAATGCCAGGGTTGACAGTTCCTGGGTCTAGGTCAAGAGGAGGAATTCTTTGGTAAGGCCAAAGGCTAGTCAGTATGTTATGTAATGAAGCCCCTTACTACAGTTGTCTATAACACTTGAGTCCTCTTAACAAGAAAATGGGAATAAAAGACAAATAGAATTAGAGCATAGCTTTAAATGCCTGGAAAGCACTTAAAATAGCATTTAAGGACTGAAATCAAAAGGAAACCCTGTCAAATGTCTCTTCCTACTGATAAAACAATTTGGGGGTAAAGTCTCTCCTCTTGGAGTGACTGCAAATGTCCCTGGCTTCTGAAGGAAGAAATCCAGATACTTTAGCACCTGTCTAGGTGTCTGCACTAGTGAGGTCTCACTGGTTGGAGGTCATACACCTATCAGGGCACAGAGAGTCTCTGCAGAATAATTTAAGGATCCCAAATCATCAGGCAAAAGTAGTTCTCACGAGGTCTTAGTGGTAAGAAACTTCATTAACCAGGCCATTAGAAATTTGGTAAGGGGTACATTACTTAAGGCAAACATGCCTCTTTATAGCAATTTAGCAAAATAAGTAAACACTAATAGTTTTTTAAAAGAAATTTGAACAGACACTCCTCCCACTCCCCACAACCATTTTTAAGACTATATCTCAAAAAACTTAATTATTAACGTTGATCAGGTAGGATGCTCCTACCTAGGAAGGTGGCATGAACCAGAAAGAACCCTCAGGCTCTGGCTTAAGAACCAGGACTCAAATTTTTATTTGTAAAGTTGGGACCACCTCAGATTCATTATGAATTATTAGCTAAAACAGAGAGCCTAACACAATGTCTAATTTTTAGCACTTCATAAATGGGAACTAATCTTATAATATAAAAATACATTTTTCAATGAATCTTATTAAGAAGAAATACTGTGTTATAATCACAGGAAAAAAAGGAGAACTTTGTGGAGAATTTTTGTTACAGTGAATGATTATGAGGTAGTATCTTTTTAAAAAGATAAAAAAGACAAAGACCTCTCCTTTCACTTTCCACTATTAAAACTATATACTGATTATAACCAAGATGCAATAAATTGCCACATACAGACATGTAGTCTTTTAGCAAAATTACTATTAAATTTTATTTATTATGATTTAATAAAGATCACCTGTCAAATTCTTTTAACTCCTGAGAAGGGACTATGATAGTTTTTAGGTTTTCATCTGAAATGTTTATCAAACCTAAAGGTAGTGTTAAAATCAAACAAGGATGGACGCAAACCAAAGAACATTTGTTAAAAACTTTATTCATGCACCAACCAGTGGTAATTTAGATTCGTTACTTTAGAGAAAACAGAAGCAGAGAGGATTAAGTGACCTGTCAAGGTCATATTACTTCAAATACCACATTTTTGAGAGGAAAAAAGTAAACTCTAAAAATTAGAAAAGTGAACTCGACAATGATCACTTATCAAATTGTAGGTCAGATTAATAAAGAGATGGCATGTGAGCAGTTGGAAAAGGAGGTGGTTTCACTAAGAATGAGGTATTTCCTGCTAACTTCATTTCCTTTCTTGATTTTAGCAGGCAAGGCTATTTCCATATACAGTGTAATCTGCCTGTCGGCCGAACATGATAAAATTTCTTAGTGTTGTTTTAGGAAAGATGAAGAAACATGAGCATAAAAGTGACTGGTAGTTGCTTCAACAACTATATTCAAAGTACTGACTAATGGATCAAAGTCACCTGGAGGGCAGTCTATAGTGGCATTCATCCTGTTCTGGTCAATATTTATCAATGATTTGGACACCACCACTAAATACCAAAGGCATGCTTCATCAAAATTGGACTGACACAGGCTAAGAGGAAGAATCAAGAGGTCATAAGGACCTTTATAAATTAAACTTAGTAAGGATGAATTAAGTAATTATTAGGAATGGATTTGACTTACCAACAATGCCTGTAAAGCTCACAAGAGACAACAATGTGATATGCCTGCCAAGTAATGTACAGTAACGAAAATAATACCAACATAGACCAGTCATAGGAGAATCACTCTGAATTTGGCAGTAATGCTCCTGGACCCAGTTCTAGTCAGACCACAGAGGAACCATGTTTAGTTCTGAGATACACATACACACACACACACACACACACGCACACACACACATATATAATGTATTTTTATTGATTTCAGAGAGGAAGGGGGAGGGAGAAAGAGAGAGATAAAACATCGATGAGAGAGAATCATTGATTGGCTGCCTCCTGCCCGCCCCCCCCATTGGGGATCGAGCCCACAACCCAGGCATGTGCCCTGACCAGGAATTGAACCTAGGACCCTTCAGTCCACAGGCCAAACTGGCTACGGCTTGAGCACCATATTGGAAGACAGGGACTGAAAGAGCCAATGCCAGGCTGGTCTGGAATAGTTACCATGAAAGATCTGAGAAAAGTGTGAAGCCTGAAGACATGAAGAGGTGGCAATACACGAGAGACAGGACCTTTCTATGTAATTTCACATGTGTGCTATTTATAAAATCATTTGGGTGAAAATTCTAACAACAAAATCCATCCCTTATAGGGAGTGCTGAGTGACTCCAACTCTGGAAGCAGTGGCTTCAAAAATATATGACAATTATAAATGGATTTTGGCACTAGAAAGAGGTGTGCCATTGCTGTTTCTGTGACTGCATTTTTCTAGAAAATGTTTATTGTATTAAGGGAGAATCAAAGTGATTACAGTTTTCTAATTTAATGCAGACATGATGGTTCTCAGTGTACCCTTCTGAAATGGGTGAGGTTTTTGAACCTTTTGGAAAGCATGAGGAATCCTCCTGAACAGTATTTGACAATACTGCCATACCTGATTTGGAGAAGCCACTGAATCGAGGCGGTGTCCATCCTGGAACTTTGAGGGTGCCTGCAGTCCTGAGTTAGTGTGGAAGTCAGGCTCTGCTGAACACACAGGACTGCTATGATGGTTGGGCAGGGGAGAGCAGGACTACTTCTTCAGAGCCCTTCCAGAAGCAAATCCACCAGCCACTTCTACACAGCTGGGCCTTCTTAGATCACAGTTCAAGGACTATAAAATCATGTGCTTGGGAGCCTGCTCCAGACTTCCTTGACAGCTGTATCCTTTGCCATTAATGTTAAATCCTCCAGGGGTTACATTATAGAAGTGATACGACTGCCCAATTAAATATTAGAAATGACCACTGAGTATATCCTGTTTATTGTTTATGATTTACAGAAAATGATAGAGTGGAGTTGTAGAACAATAAACCAATCATTACATTTAGACCTGGGCTTTTGAAAAACTTGCATTCCATTTGAACAGTTCATACATATTTAACAGCTTATATATAAATCCAGATCACAAATAATCTTGAGAGTTAGTTAGCTTACAGATAAACAATTAAGCAACACAGAAGAAAACCATATGGATCTATCTTTAAATATCAGCATTTATATTACAAGAAGAAAATGTAAAAGAAAAATTATTAGGTCAAGTAACTTAACATATAATAGAGAAATAAGGGAAAAAACATTTTTATTATTTATACTTATTTCTAATTTACCTTCATGTAGTCTTAACTTTTTCAAAAGGATCCAAAATCTGATTAAACAATATTCTGGTGTCTGAACTTGTCAGCCTCAGCTTTTATCAGCTTGTTACAATGAAAATACCTAAAACCTCAATTTTCTTTTAAAAAATTTTTATAATCCAACTCTTATTTAACTTTCTTCCTTCATAGCAGCTGTTTATAGATAACAGAGAGCCAAGAATGAAGGACAGAAACAGATGGAAAGCAAAAAGTACAACAGCTATCTTAAGTTCAGCTCTCAACGCTGCTGGTTGAGTTTGGAACCAAAACCGCCTAACAACTGGCAGATAATAGCTAAATCTTAACAGGCAAAGAAGAAATATATTCTTTGGGACAACTGCTATCTAGGAGAAGAAAACCAAGCTCCCTTAATACTGCCTAAATATAACGTGTGGCTTATTAAAGAGAAATCTGTAGCAGTCAGTTTAACCAGTAACTGATCAATATTACTTAAAGGGAAAAACAACAACATAAAAAAACACTAGCCACAAGTTTCTGGAAACCAAAAAAGAAACAAACAAAATCATACTAGTCACAAATTTTCACAATATACACATGAGAATTAATTTTAATCTGATTTGACTCCTTGACACTAACTGATCAATGAAATATGGTGTGGAAAGATCACAGAGTAGAAAACAAGCAAAGATTAGTTTATACAACAGAGACTATGTACATCAGAAGGAAAACATGCCAGCTAATGCAACATTAAGGCCTGAATGTAAGCATTTCCAAAGTCACAGAAGCCCCAAAGAACCCCTAAGTTACAAAGTCACCACATCACATACATGCAATGTTCAGTTTGTTTTACTCATAAAAGGATACACAGTATTTGCTGTAAATACCAGACACATTTACAATATATGCAAAAATTAGAATGCAAGTGTTATAGTCCTTATATTTAAGCCTCAAATGTGACAACAGTGAAAATTCACTTATTTTTAAGAATGAAGAAAAGAGATGGAATATAAATACTCAGAGAAATTATACATATAAATGTAATTTTGCATTTGGGAAGCCACATAAATATTCCTTTTATATGTCCAAACTAAATTATAAATTTTCTACTCAAATGGATGTACACTCACTATGTGCTTTACTATTTTACTTGCTCAAATATGGTATTCTAACAGCCATCATTCTCTGGTGTTTGATATCAAATCATATCCGTAAGTTAAATATTGCATCCATGTTTATACATAATTGTCTATTGGGTGAGATCACCTAAGCAGAAAGCTGTGCAGTCTTCGTTGGGGGTTATGTAATTACAAAGATGGCCTTGTAGGTCAATTTCCCATAAAAAGAATAAGGAAAGCTGACTTCCTTACTTTTGTAGAAGCTTTTGAACAGAAAACTCTTTTAGAGGGTAAATCTGAGGTCAGGATCTTCTTTTCTCCTTTAAACAAAGGAAAGTAAGAAAGAAGCTGTGTTACATGTTAAGTTCTGTTCACACAGTCACTAGGCAATCATATAATCTACTTCCTTTTCAGCCATGGCTTAATTCGGCTTAATTTGAAACTACTTATTTTTATTTTAGTTCCAGGTGAATAATTTTACCAAAATAAATTAGTGTAAAGAAACAAATATTGATAATGTGATATAAATAATATTTGTTCAGAAAACTTTAAAGAAATAAATTATAACATAGTAAAGTTTAGATATGTTGTAAAAAAGGTATGACCAATTTTGTCCTATACCCCATCAATTTTATGCTTTATACAAGTCAGAACAGTTAACATAGTTTTTTAAGGATTCAGATTTTCCTTTAGGATACAATAGAATGAGTGTTAAAAACCCTTTATGCATGTTTTCAGACTTTCTAAAATATTTCAGAACCAAAATCACCTTACAATAACTATACCTAATAGTTATTAAACAAATGTGGCAGGAGTGTTCTGAACCTTCAAGTATCATTTTAACCAAGTAGAAAGAATTTCTATAAGGCCATCTAATTCACCAGGCGCTGAGCACACTAGATAGTTCATATGCTTTACTAACCTGACTTTAAGCACATCTAACATTAAAAAAATAATTTATCTTACTACCTAACCATTTCCAGGGGGTTACATATAACATTTTGAAATTTTGTGATGCTCAGCCACAATTTTAGCCAGTTTGAAATTCTTTAAAAGTCCTAATTTTAAACAAAGATGGAAGACTAGACACCTTCCTAAAAAACCACTCAGTATTATAAACCAAGAGGTTTTGATGTAGCAAAAGCAAAGGGAACAATGAAAAAGCATGCTTTAGAATTCTTTTTATTTCCAATGAAACCAAACTTTACTACTGTTGTGATTATAGTCTTCACATTTGATGCAAATAGGAGAGCTAATTATAATCACTTAGTGGCAATATTCAGACAAAACTAGTAACGCGTGCCACACAGATAATTATTTCTTCTGGAGAGAGTCAAATGATCAGCTTGACTTTTTCAATTAATATCAACACCTTCAACTAAAAAAAAAAAAACTGGATGTACTGCTTCAACATTCAGCTTGAAAATGTTAGTACTTTCTGCAAACCTATACTTAGTTTAGAAAGGTCAATATTCTCTTTCTAAACTATGGCATAGACTATATATAGCATTTTAATATATTTATATATAATTATTTGCACATCAGGTTTAGAAGGAATTTTCAGATTTACTTTATAGAATGATCTCATTCAAGTGTTAAGGTTTAAGGAGCGTCTGCAGTACTGTCATTTGAAGGTGGGGCATCGTGACCAGGCTCAGAGGAAGCAGCTGCAGATGCTTCAATAACTGCAGGTGGGAAATGACGACGGCACACAGGGCATGTTCCTGACTGGAGGGAGAAGAACAAGTTCATAGCCAATGAGAAGGCCTTAACTACCACACAAGTATCTTAAGAAAGACAAAACAGTATCATTATCCTGAAAACAAAACAGAAAACTTAAAACCAAATAAACTTCAAACCTACACAGTACAGAGAGGAAAATTTTTGATGCTATTTCCTTTTATCCCAATCAGACACTAATTCCTTTAGGGTAAACTGTGTCTCTTAATCATGTTTGTATCTTTTATATCACTCATCTTTCATGTAGTGACTATTCATTGAGAGTCCACTACACTCCCTGGTTGGCACTGGTGCTGCTGTAGGGAGTGAGCAAGGAGTCACAGGGCATGTCCTCACCTATACTGGTGATGATACTGATGATGATGTGGAGAGTTAGATGCTTTCTAAATGACAGAACAAATCAACCACAGACCTGACAGGGAGGGTGGGACAGGGACAGCAGTTATACTGGGAGTATACCATTTTAGGAACAAAAGATTCCAGAGATATGTCATCTGGTGTTAAGATTATTCTTTTGCAAGTCTGGTCTTTTTCCCAAAGCAACCTCCCTGATAGAAAGCGGGTTGAAGAAATCATGCTGTTAAAGGTGACCAAGATTTGTATCTTGGGAACCTTCTCCCTAGAGGAAAGGCTTCACACTAAGCTGTTTCCTGACAGGAAAGAAACTACAGAGATTATTGCCTTGAGTTATAGCCAAGTCAATGACAAGTCATGACTATACAACAATATGTTTACAATTCAAGAATTTAATTCTGCCAACATTTTGTTGGGCACCTGCCATACAGATTGGGGCCTTAACAGCAACATTTTAGAGTCAGATAGATGTGTGTGGTTTCTACACAAGCACATACTAGCTGTGTAACCTTGTACAAATAACAATCATTGGAAAATGAGAATAAAGATACCAATGCAGAGTGGAAAAAAAGTAGGGTTACAGTTGTTTGTATGGAAAATAATATAATAATTAAAAAATAATAATACAAGAATAAACTGTTTCATGTACTCACAATTATAGACCCATTTTTGCCCCATCTTGTATGTCCCAGAGTTATTGTGAGGAATAAATGGGAAAATACACACGAATCATCTAGCAGAGCGGTTCTCAACCTGTGGGTCGCGACCCCTTTGGGGGTCGAACGACCCTTTTACAGGGGTCTCCTAAGACCATCGGAAAACGCATATATAATTACATATTGTTTTTGTGATTGATCATTATGCTTTAATTATGTTCAATTTGTAACCATGAAATTGGGGGTCACCACAACATGAGGAACTGTATTAAAGGGTCGCAGCATTAGGAAGGTTGAGAACCACTGATCTAGCAGTTCCTGACACACAAAACACTAAATCCTTATTAAGGCTTTGGTAATATTGTAGATGTTTAAAGAATGGGGATATTAAGAACAGAAAAGGTGAAATTTAAGCAGGACCATCTAATCTTGCAGGTGTAGAGGAAGACCACACCAGGCTAAGCAAACATGAGCAAAGTTACAGAAGTAAATCTGCAGAGATAGGCTGGGAGCAAGATCACAGAAGGCCTTAAAAGCCAAGACAGAAACTTTAGAATTTATAAAAGAATGGTGACATTTTCTGCACTGGATATTAAAAGTGTTAAGTAGAGTTTTGACTTTTAAGGGGAGCAACAGCAAGAAAAGAGAAGGGAGAGAGGAAGAGGAGGGGAGGAAGAAAGGAAGGGGAAAAAGAAGGGAGCGGTTATAGGGAAGAGAGAGTTATTTCCATAGCTAAGTAAGCTGGGAAAGTGATTTGGGAATTTCCACTAAACTGCATGTAAATATTCTTTATGCAAAAATAGAGTTAACAGAGATTTAAGTAAAACTCTGTTTTTCTTTAAGTATATAATTCAAATATACTTAAAATTTTGGGATAAATATTTTAGGGTAATATATGAAAGTTTGAATATAAGATAGTTGGTAGTTTATTAAACATTTCTCATATAAGAGACACTGATACATATTATCAGAATATCGGTATATTGTTACATTACTCTGAGTAGTGCCAAAAGCTCCTGTGCTTGAGGTATTTCTAAAAACACCTAATTTCTGGGATATGATTAAATATGTTAAGTAGTTCAGGTTGTCTACACTGTTTTTTAGACAATGTCAGTAAAGTAAAATAGTTTGATATTATCATTAATCTGTAGTCATTAAAAGGTAACTGACTTTAATTAAAATGAATTAAACTGAACTCAAAAGTACTACAAGTACGTAGCAAAATAAATAGGATTAAAAGACATTACTGTCATCCTTAAGTTGTAGGAGAAAACTATTAAAATATTAACTTAAAGGAAGTAAATCTAAAACTTACCTTCTGCAGCCAAATTGAGACACAAGGTTTGTGAAAGAAATGGTGGCAAGGTAACTCTGTTGCTATATCATCTTTGATATACTCACTACAACAGATTGGACAGCACTGCTCCTGACCAATAGCTAAAAACAACAAGTAATTAGATATATTAATCCAATAAAGTTCAATTTTAATAAAACTGAAAATCAACATATGAACTCATAGATGATGCCTGTGAAAGACAAATGAACCAGACTTTGATCAATAAATTGTCAAACATGTTTCTAATACATGACAATTTGAAATTTAATTAACATTGCTTTTGTAGAAAGTTGACTAGGGAACATTTGTCCCAACCTATCACTTAATAAATTAAAAATATTCTTCCACTAGGTAAAAGTTTTTCAGAATCTGGTTTCATAGAAAATCTAGTAAGAGTTTATAATAGTACTTTATCTTCTAGGTGCATATAATTATATACTTAAACATGCAATGTGTCATTCAGCATTAGAGATCAACTTTGCCCTTCTTACCAGTGTGATCTTCAAGAACAAGTGTCTCTGGAAGACCATCAATGCTCTCCTTACTGGCTGGTGGATTGGCTACCTCAACATCTACTGCAAGAGACTCTAAATGTGCCAGGGCAGTCTGAAAATAAAAATCACAGTTCTTTGTTAGGAAACACTTTAAAGCAGTAATAGAAAACTATTTTTAAGGTATCTTCCAAACTTATATCCACCATTAGTCTCTTCTGTTAGTTTACTTTGCTTCAGTCCCTTGCCCTTTTGCCTCCTTTCAAAAGGAACCATCATCACCACCATCAAACAAACATCAAAAACATACCAAAAAATAAAAGCTCTACTTTTCATAAATATAACAAAAATCTATTTTGTTTCAATAACCATCTACTTGTCCACCCTATTTATATTTTCAGAAGAGTGGCTACCTCATCCAACTTATGAGTTTCTTATGGGATCAATACTATAAAAAATGTAAACATTTTGAACAGGTTCAACTCATGAAAGATAAAATGTAGCCATGGTTAATAGATGTTCAAGGTATGCAACCAAATAATGCATTCCTGAATAGCAGTATCTACTACTATTTTAGAGTCAGCACACCCACATTACTAGCTCACTAGTATTACTAAGTTATCTGGGTTATGAACTTTATTCAGGGGTACAGAATTTTATATAATGTTACTATTCTAACAAGGAAGGAAAGAACATTAGATATATGATCATCTAATACAAGTCACCATCATCCTTTTGTGGACTGATTCACTTTCCTGGCTACAATTAGATTAGAACTTCAGTAGGACTTATATACACAAGTCCAAAAAGGTGGAGACAACCCAAGTATCTATGAATAGATAAACAAATGTGCTAGGTAAAGGTAAGTATATAGTCAAATTCAGAATACTCTGATACTGTAATATGATGGTGTATTAACCAATTTAGGCAAGTATAAAGGTTAAAGAACAACAGTATTAAAATAACTATTATTTAACAACAATTTGTTAAAAAATACACAACATAAAAATAGGTAAGTTGGGAATTCAAATGTGTGCAGAAAGGTATATATGGAACCCAAGTAGTGAAAGAGATGACTGTTTCAGTTATCCATGATTGCTGCTCAGATCCAAATTCACAATTTTTGTCAGCTCTGTGAAAATGGATTTGGGCCATTTAAAGATTTTCTCTTCTGACATCTGTTATGTTGTAAAGCTTGTTCACAGAGGACACTAAGGAGGCCCTGTAAGAGGAAAAGGACTTTGCTTCTGATCCCAGTGTGCCACTTGGCAGGCTTCTGTGGCAGGTGTGGCTTTCTCTAGCACCAGACTCCTGCAATATGCACAGCTTCTCAATGTCTAGCTCTAGAAATGCATGCAGCAGAAGCACCAAGTGGCAGGCAGATTCCTCAGCATCCCCTTGGATAGTTTAGTAGCAGAGTGCTTCCAGTCAGACATCTCCCTATGAATATAGCTTTCCCTAGCACCCTACAGGGCTGATTTCAAGCAAGCTCTGCCAGCAGAGCACCAGTGACTTCTCTGCCACTCATTAAGCCACAGCTATGCCATTTTCATCAAGGTCTGAATCCCAGCCATGGAGTGGGAGTGGTGACCCTTCCTTAGGTGACCTTTGCTCTACAGGTGGTGACTGCTCCTTATACATGGTTTTTCTATATTCTTTAGAATTACCTTTATTCCTTACTAAGCAATCCCTTGTTACTCTAATCCCGTTATAGTTAACTAGAGGCCCGGTACATGAAATTTGTGCATGGAGAGGGGGGCTCTCAGCCAAGCCTGCACCCTCTCGCAATCCGGGACCCCTCGGGGGATGTACGACTGCCGGTTTAGGCCCGATCCATGCGGGATTGGGCCTAAATCGGCAGTCAGACATCCCTCTCGCAATCTGGGACCGCTGGCTTCTAACCACTCGTCTTCCTACTTGCATAATCACCCCTAACCACTCGCCTGCCTGCCTGATCGCCCCTAACCACTCTGCCTGCCTGCCTGATCACCCATAACCACTTGCCTGCCTGCCTGATTGCTCCTTATGTACTTCCCAAGATAGACTCTGCAAGAATTCATCTGTGTTATACACAAACAAAAAGAAGAAATACTATTTTTAATAAGTCCCATTTTTTTGGGGGGGGAGGGGTTATTCCAGGTTAACTGTATTTTGATAACATGTTTGTCTTAATGGATTCATTATTCTTTTCTAATGATTATCTACACATTTGCAGTGCTAATAAATACATGGAATTTCATATATATAGAAATAATTTATTGCCTTGATACTGACAAATATTTAAGGTGATCTGGGATCACTTATAAGTGACAAGAACAAGAGAAACCATTTTATAGCCACTACTATGAAAATCTATAAAGATGTAAAAATTTACATCTGAGGAAGTACAAAATATTTTCAAAAGTTAGAAAGACAACTAAACAGCTTAAACAGCCTAACTGGAATATATCTAGGATTAAAGTAATGCATTCCTTTGTCAGCACAAAATTTAGTTTCTAAAGAATAAAATAGGATTTAGTTTTTAAAGAATGGAGATTTATATAACAAATGATTTAATAATGACCACTGAATCCATATATGCAAGATAAGTACCAGTTAGTTGACTACTAATTTGAATATATCCATTTACTGAGAACGTACCCACTGTACCAGGTATTTTGCTAAGTGTTTAAACATAATTTCACAATAACGCATGAAGTAAATTTTTTTATTCCCATTTTATAGACGAGGCCTAGAAGCTTAAAAAAGTTAACTCTCCAAGGTCACATAGCCTAAAAGAATCTATCTCAAAAACCATGCTCTTAACCTCATGTTTAGCTACCTAAGGCTTTCACCTCAGTATATGCGGGGTGCTCTGTTAAGTATGTAAAGACTTTTCAAGGGGCCCAAGGGTAAGCAGGTTCTCAAAGAGACTCAATTTCAATGAACTTTCTTATGTAATTTTTCCTCAAACTGATCTACCTAATAATGCATCTGCAGTTAAAGAAACATGCTGCCCTGTTCTTACATTCCTCTTTCTACTAACCATCCCTCACTTTATAAATAAAAACATACTTCTTACCCATCCAAAGGAGCAATTTGAAATACTTGGGTCAAACTGAATTCTACAGACTGAATAACAAATCTCTGTAGATGGCTTCCAATCCTCTGCTTTCAAAAAAACTGAAAGAGGATCTAAACAACTTGGCAAGTTGATGTAATTTTAGCAAGACTTGAGTGAAAAGGCTATGATAAATTCCTTCTATCCCTATCAACTTACATGAACAAGGTCTCTCAAGCTTATATTCATAAAGATGAAAAAAAAAGAAATAAAACTGATGCTGAACTATGTCTCATTGTAGGAATAAATAAAACTCACTGATAAGGTAACTAGGGAGAAAAAGCCTCCATTTCATTAAGAGATGCATTTTACCAGAAAAATTTTACTTTATGTTTAAATAATTATTTATCAAAACTATTATATGCAATATAAAGATAACACATCATAGACTTGAACACCTGAAATCTATATGTTTATTAACCAATAAATTTAATTAAAAATAAATTTTAAGTGAACATTTGTTTTTCATCACTACTCCTAACAATTTTAACTCAACTTACTTTACTTTTTACATTTAAATTCTTAAACATATTTTTACTGCAAAGAGATATCATAGGATAAACAATATTACTTAGAATTTAGGCTATAAATTTTTAGATGTCAATATAATGGCAGGGATACTTTTTCCCCCAAAATTTGGGAGCAAGTAATAAGCTTCAAACCTTAACTATTTTGCCCTATTCTCATTCAAATTTGAGACACAGCTATGAAGCAAATGTTTATTGACACTATTTTCTTAACAACCATTACCTGAAAAGAAAGATCAGTCTACTATTGAAAAATAACAGAAATAAAAACAAAGAGTTAGGGCTGCATGAGAAAAAAACAAAAAACAAATAAAAGCACAGTTTGTCTTATTATTTGTTTTAGTTTCACTTAAAGAATGTTAGTGTTAAATCTAAAAGAAAAAAATCATAAATTATACATTTTAGCTTCATTTTTCAAAATGATTAAATAAAAAGACAGAAGGCAAGACAAAAAACTTAGAAATCAAATATGCTATTTATTAAAATGTGTATGCATTAAGCAAAAGATATTATTTAGAATCTGTATGAACAAAAAAAGGAAAGTGATTTGTAATATATTCTTAGAGATTTTCAATTTCATTTCACAAATATACCTGTGCATGTGTGTATAAAATTTTCAAATTCACAGACCCATATAATTTAATAAAGGAAAGTGTATACAGTGGGGCCTTGACTTACGAGTTTAATTCGTTCCGAGACCGAACTCGTTAAGGAGCTCGTTAACTCAAATTACTCTATCAAATCAATGCAAAAAATTGGCCGAGAGACAGCTGGTATCTCAAAAAACTCGTTAGTCGGGACACTCGTAAGTCAAGGCCCCACTGTATTATAAATGTAAGCAAAACATTTTCCATTCTGTAGTAAAAATTTTAGGAAAATTGGCAGGATGTCAAGTGTAATTTATATACACACACTGGTAGCAATCAGTAATCAGTAATTGTTATTAAATTGATAAGGAAATTATTCACCTTTTCTTAAGAGCAGTTAAAAATATTTTACTTTTTCTTATTGTGCACCCCACCAACATACACGGGCATCAGAGTCATTAAAATACCTCCATAGCCTGGGCTAAGCGTTCTTCTAGTGCCATATAGGTGAGGAACTGAGGATCCACATAAGAAATAGCTTCAGCAACTCCTAATCCATCCGCAAAGCCATCAAACAGACTGGAAAAAAAAATACGACCATGATTTGGGAAATCTTTATGGTGAAGACATAATTATATTAACACTAGAGGCCCGATGCACGAAATTCATGCAAGGGTAGGCCTTCCTTCTATAGAATGGAGCATCATAAAGGAGCTGTAAAAAATTATTTTTATAGCCCAGCCAGCATGGCTCAGTGGTTGAGCGTCAACCTATGAACCAGGAGGTCACGGTTTGATTCCCGGGCAGGACACCTGCCTGGGTTACGGGCTCAATCCCCAGTGTGAGGCATGCAGGAGGCAGCCAATCACTGATTGTCTTTCATCATTAATGTTTCTATCTCTCTCTCCCTCTGTCTTCCTTTCTGAAATCAATAAAAAGATATATAAAAAAATTATTTTTACAAAATTTTCAAAATGTGCAATAGATAAAAATGAAACCAAAATTGCCTCCTGACATACACAGATGATCTAAATCAGTGGTCGCTAACCTTTCGGACCTCACAGACCACCAATGGTCCGTGGATCATCGGTTGGCAAACGCTGATCTAAATAGATAATTCTGTCATCTGCTGAGTTCTTTGAGTAATGAATGACTTTGCACATGGAGAGATAAGACACCAGAATAAATGAGTTCAGTAAGAGGGCAGATAGAAGAAGATCAGCAAGGCTAGGACTAGGTGAAGTCACTGATTTTCCAAAATGTTTGGGAAGCCAGAAAATGGGCTCTGGAGAAAGGGAATGTTTAAGATAGAAATACAGATTGTTTTTGTGGCTGTGATAAAATTCCACTTGTACTTCCACAAAATGGTCAATAGAAATCTGCTCTGCACATATAATTCTCCACCTCCCCACCTCCCCATGGAAGTGAGAACAGAAACGGTAAGAAGGATTTCAAGGAGATATTGAGTTTTGTGTATGGAGAAGCACAAAGTAGCTACACACACAGAAAGAGAAATTGAAGATGTATAGGATGCCTTAAAAAAATAAAATTTGTGGAGATATCAGGGGATAGAAATGAGTTTTTCTTATCTTTATTTTTCTAAATTTTCTGTAATGATATTTTTACTGGAAAAAACAAGACATATTCTTTAAAACATTTCTGTGCAGACATGCAAACATGAGTAGTACTAAGCCATATTTTTCCTAGAAAAAATAACAAAAATGATCAGTTGGAACATCCTTTCCTCATCTCAATAATTAGCTGCTTACAAAGGGCTACTGCACACTTGAAAGATACTCTATTCTAACCATCATGAGACGTAATGCACTTAATTCATGTTACTTTTACTTGAAGCTGTTCTTTGTCAGCCTAAATCTAATACTTACAACATTTCTGGGTAAGTACAATTATAGTTTCTATTCAAAATATATAAAGAAGGAAAATTATATTCTATGATTCTGATCCAATGACAGGTTTAAAATTCTTCAAATAATATTCAGGACCTTGTTTAAAAAAACAACAACAACAACACACACAGGATTATACTAAGTGCTATATTTAGCATATAAGGGTAAATTTAAAAGTTGGAAATCTCAAACCATGAGTGTATAATTCACTGGGATATAATAAGGTGAACTTCAAGAGAGCTAAATGTCAAAGATGGAAGAGGTCATTGACTGGAATAAGTAGGAAGGTGTCCCTGTAGGAAGTGACCTCTGAAATGAGCTTTGAAGAAGATGGGGAAATAAGAATACTTTTTAGCTATCAGAGATTCAGTTTTCATAATTTAGAATCATGAACAAATTCTACTCAATGAACAATTAAGCATGGTGATAACACTGCTACCTACCTCCAGTCCACATCTAAATCTTCACTCACACTGGAGTCATCCTCAAGGTTATTGTTACCATCCAACATGAAAGCCTCTGGCTGTGCAAATTCATTAGCCTGCTCATTTCCCTCATCACTGCTGCTTTCATTGACTTCATTGTACTGCAACCAAGGAATTTCTCCCTCTTCCAAGGATGTCTGTTCCCTAATAGAAACATTTTAAGAGAAAAAATATATTATTTTAAAACACATCATACAATTGTCCTTTAAAGAGTTCTATTTAGTGCAAGCAGATTCTTTATCCTTTGAGTCCTAAACTCTTGGTACTTATGATTTTTAAAAGTCTGTTTTCTTTAAATGTAAAATTATTTAAAAATGAAGTAAATTTGTTATAGGGTCACATGTATATAGAAATAAACTCCTAATTACATAAGAACCTATTTATTTGATATACTAATTATCTAATCTCCTATATTTCCTCTTTTTGTAGGAGAAAAAAAAATAAAAAAATTCACCGTAGATCATTTAAATTCTTAAACACTACTCTTGAATAGTTTCCTTCAGTTAAAATAAAATCCAAATTCCTCCATCTGACCTACAAATCCCTACATAAAACATGCTTTCTCCTTGGCCCTCTTCTCCAACTATTACCTCTCACTACTCTTCCCTCCATTCACTACATTCCTATAATCACTCTACTCTGGGAAGAGATGGAGATCATTTCCACCCTGGGGGCAATTCTTCTATGTGAAAAATTACAGTGGGGCCTTGACTTACGAGTGTCCCAACTAACGAGTTTTTTGAGATACCAGCTGTCTCTCGGCTGATTTTTTGCATTGAGTTGATAGAGTAATTTGAGTTAACGAGCTCCTTAACGAGCTCGGTCTCAGAACGAATTAAACTCGTAAGTCAAGGCCCCACTGTATTTCACCAGATTTTTTAGCATAGCTACTCCCTCCTTGATATTCAGGTCAGAGTAATATTACCTTCTCAAAGAGGAAACTCTCCAGTCACTGGCTACCAGGTTACTCGGCCTTTTTTAATTATAGACTTTACTCTTACTTATCATTTTCTTATTTGTCAATATTTCTCCCACTAAAAAATAAGCTCAGACAGACAAATAAATAGTACAAAGAAAATAAGGAAGAGAAGCAGTTCAGAACAGCATGAAAAAGGGCTATTCAACACATGATATTGGGACAACTGAGTATCCAACTGGAGAGAAGGAGGTTAAATCGCTTAAGTTATTATTTACTCTTAAATAAATTCCAGATATACTTTTAAAAAATGCATGTGCACTCCCACCACCTCTAAAACAATAAAAGTACTAAAAGAATCATGAGGAAAATTTTTACAAAAAAAATCTGTCATTCTAAGCATGATTCAAAACCTTGAAGCCACAGATTGTTAAATTTCACGACATGCACGTTAAACACTCATGGACAAGTCAGGACATCAAAAATATGGACACAGAGATCAAATTGAGGAAAATTAATTATAATACATAAGAAACAAAAGGCATGTCACAGCTGCAATGAACTAAAATAAAGGTACTTTATGAATTTATAAATAACATCATTATACTGGTATGATTTTCTTATTCATTTTACTTAACAGAAAAATACCTTTTAGTATATCAAAAGGATCATAGTATTGCCAGGGCTGAATTTTAGTTTGATTAAGTTTTAAGGTAAGAAATAATGTTATACAAAAATTTATGTATTTCAACTTTAAGAGCAGCTATAATTAGAATTCTATTCATTTTAATATGCAAACTTAACTTTGGGGGTAAAAACATCTATGAAAGGGATGTAGACAATGTCTGCTTATAAAAATCAACACATTTTAAATACATAGAAAACAGTATCTCTTTATATACCTAAACTCGTAAATGTTTCTTTAATTTCAGTTCCTAAACTATACTTCAGAATAACAGGCTTGTAAGATTTAGTATCTAGTACAGCCAGTCTAGTAAAATCAGAGAAATTAGCATGACAATATACTTTCCTCAAATATATAAAGACTAGAGGCCCAGTGCACGAAACTCATGCATGGGTAGGGTCCCTTGCGGCTGCTGGCCGCTGGCCAGGGCCTTCCTTCATTCCACACTGCCCCCTGATGGTCAGTGCACGTCATAGTGAGCGATAACTCCCGAGGGGACACTCTGCATATTAGGTTTTTATATATATAGATAGTGAATATTTTCCTTCTGTGCATAATTAGGTCTAATAAAAAATTTAACCCCAAATAGGTTTAAAATATAAAATCAAACTAAAAATTCCTAAGCAACAGACCTTTATGCACACCTTTATGGAAGCACTCACCACACTGTATTGTAACTTTTCTGGTGACTCGCTTGTCTCCTCCTAGACTGGGGTTTTTTCAAGGGCATATACAGTGTTGTTTCTCATCACTGTATCTTCACCCCCTGTAACAAGTGCTTGGTACATAATAGATACTCTATCTTTGTATTGCAAATGTAATAAATCCTTAAAAAACAACCTATTAAGCCTGGAATAAACCTTGAAATTTCTGTTATTTCTATGTATTCCTACAAAAAATACGTTTTTTTCCTATTATACAGATATCAAAATGACCTAGCTACTCTGTACTTCAGATATCTATATATATAAAAGGCTAATATGCAAAGTGTCCCCGCGGGAGTTCGACAGGGAGTTTGATGGCTCGCTATGACATATGCTGACCACCAGCAGGCGGCGTGGAATGAAGGGAGGCCCCGGCTGGCAGCCGGAAGGCCCCAATCACCAGCCAGGCCTAGGGACCCTACCCATGCATGAATTTTGTGCACTGGGCCTCTAGTATAATATAAAACTTAAATATATTGGTGAAAATTATTTAGTTTAAGAAATTTTAATGTATGGGTTTTTTAATTCAAAGAAGAAAACTAAAATAGTAAGTCATCATAATGAATCTAAATAACTTATAACATGTCATTAATACTCCTACTATATAACCAATTCCTGGCTACGTATTTTGCTTAAACATTTTATTCTGTCTTTAATAATTCATCATAGCACAGTTATAGAAATAGAAAATAAGTGGTATGGCATATGCTTTCAACATGTTATACAAAGTTTATATAAATTCCTACCATTTCACATAAATTTTCGCAGGCTTCAAGAGTGGCAATGTGCTGGACCAAAGTTATCTTGATAGTATAACAAAAGGAATTTTGCTCTTAAAAAAAAAAGAAGATTCTGAACAATGGAGTCAAAGTATCTTTCATTTTGTGTAGCTAACAACAGAAACTAATATCTCCATGGGACTATACGCATACAATGTAAGTTTTAAATGCTTCAAAAACCTTGAAAATGTTTAGGACAGTATCTTAATCTTCTTTCTTTCCACATATGCATTCATACATACACACACCCTAGCTAACATATTCACAAAAATTTAGAGCTTTAATGGTCTTTCTTCATTCTGGCAACTCAAAAATCAACAAAATGCCATTATAACATTATGCAGTAATATATCAAACTTTAAAAAAGACATTATCTAATCATGTCTCCAAATGGTTCATTCTTTAAAAAAGCAATTCCATATTTGGAAGATAGGAAGTCTGTATCTACCACTACCACTACCAGAGTCACAGGCATTTCAACTAGGAAGGGAAATTGCCAACTTGTCCTTCCCTTTTGAGGATTTTTCAGCACAGCTTAGAGAAAATGAATGCTACTACCATGCCCGAAAGCTGAAAATACCTCATCATATATCCCCACCACCTAATCCCAGTGAAAATCTTAGAAGACCACCAGCATCGTCTATTCTCCTGATTACAGTCTACACTGTTACCCCAAATCTTCAGACAGACTGTTGCTCCTTCCCAGAAAAGGATTAAAGATCCCTACTCCTCAATAGAAACTAAAATTGATAACATTCTATGAATAGAAATATTAAAATTATCAAAATATACCAAAAAGCTAATATTGAATATTTTAAAGAAATTTTTATTACTGAGTTTTAAATTTGCTATCCTATAACCATGCATCATAGAATTTTCTGAGAAATTAAAATGAAAGGCAGAAAAATTAAACTGAAAACACTAACTATTCTGATTTATAAATGTGAGTAACTTCCTTTAGCTAGTAAATCAGCAGTTGTAGTATTCATTATTTGCAGCACAGAATTTCAGATGTTTGGGTTAATGCCAACATTTTAAAGGGCCAAGGCTTTCATAAAATAAAGCTATCTTATAAGAAATTTATTTTATGAAAATCCTGGAGAGCACATAACATTCCTAATTAACTAGTATTTAACTAATTGGTTTTCATTTTACAGTGGGGCCTTGACTTACGAGTGTCCCGACTAATGAGTTTTTCGAGATCCGAGCCATCTCTCGGCTGATATTTTGCTTTGAGTTGTGAGCTAAAATTCGGGTTACGAGCCAGCTTCAGATACCCCACCGCTAGTTGGCACAGTGGACGTCAGAGTGAACGGCACATTAGCCCAGCATCACGTGTCTCACTCGTTCACTTTTTGATTTGACATACGAGTAATTTGAGTTACGAGCTCCATCATGGAACGAATTAAACTCGTAAGTCAAGGCCCCACTGTATAACTCAAGACACATATAAGTAGCTGCCAAGCTTTAGGTATAAGCTCACTTTTAAGAATGATGATTGTATAGCAAATTTTTAAGATTTCAAATCCCTATCTTATAAAGGAAAGTAATTGAAATTTGAAAAAGGAGTCAAAAATCCTGAAAGGCCAAGTGCCCATCAGTAGATGAGTGAATAAAAAAGCTGTGGTACATTTATACCATGGAATACCATGCAGCAGTAAAAAACAAGAATCTCTTACCCTTTGAGACAAAATGGAGGGAACTGGAGAGTATCATGCTAAGTGAAATAAGTCAGTCAGAGAAAAACAAGTGTCACAAGTGTCATGTGTGGAATCTAAGTAACAAAATAAACTGATGAACGGAGTGGATCCAGAGACATGGAAGAATGGAACAGAGTGTGGAATCCCAGAGCGAAGGAAGGGGAGGGTGAGTGGGTGGGAGGTAACCAACCAAAGACTTGTATACATATATGCATAACCCATGGACACAGACAATAGGGTGCTGAGAGCCAGGGGCAGGGGTGGACTTCCAACAATAAAGAATTATTTAAAAAAAATTTTTTTTAAATCCTCAAAGGGAATTATAGCTTACAAAATCAAGGGTACCCTGTTCTGTCATCC